GCCTAGTAAGATAGAAGTGTTAAGAAGTACACTTTATCAAAAAGAATAAAATGGTGGCATCTATAGGATTTTGATTATTTCAAATGATACGGAGTTAGTCTACCGGACAGCGTGTACACAAACGAAACAATGGTTGGATAAATCTCAGATTGATGTCGACCAAGGGAGGGAAGAGAATCAACAATCAGTCAATCTAGTTCGAAGAGAATCATAAAAATTTGATGGTAGACGGAAGACAGGAAAACATACGACCTCTGGATCAGACATTTCGAGAGGGAGAGAGGAGCCAACATCAGAGCCAGAGCGGTTTTGCATCCTCAACCCAGGTATCAGTTCGATGCATGCTACCTAGAACAATAGATCCTAATGTGATTTAATCGTCAAGACGGACGAGGCANTCGTCACAGACTAGCTCTTTTGGCACACCTTAGATCGACAAACAGAAGGCGACAAATCGAGGAGTTACGGAAACCTAGGGTTCGCTGATAGAGATGAGTGATCTAAGAACTCGGCCCATAAGTGTTAAACTGAAAAACGCTGGAAAAGAAGATGTGCGTGATATTGAGTTGGATATCAGCAAGGTTAGTTACAACCGAAGTGTGTGGTGGTAGTGGTGGTCCAATTTCGTAGAATGAACTTAGTTGTTATGAGCGTCTAATTCCGTCTTGTGTAGATTGAAAAAAATGTTTTGACAGATTATAAACTACTCTATTCCCCCAGAGAATCGGTATTGAACATTTCCTGTTTACAGCAAACAGTTTGCAGTTGGAATTTGGTCACGTAGACCGTGACATTGGTAAAATGAGAGACACCGATAGTAGTCTGAGTTGCTCATCCAAGACAGGTTGTTGCTGTTGTCGTTGTGTCTGTTGTTGTTGTTGTTGTTGTTGTTCCGGCGACAACAACAAGCAGCACAGTTGAGGAAGATGGGGATTGTACCAGCAATTGAATGTTCGATTAGTCCCACAGATACCAAAAGAAAAGACATGACGCATACAACGACCTAGTCGATCGACTGTTGTAGAAGTGAGGGTAAACATTTTGTTCTGGTTTACTCCAGACAATCAATGACGAGAAATTCCAGATCGCTGAACAGTTCGACAAGTAGGAAGATCATCAAAGCAGTAACTGAATTATCGCTCACTCTAGATTACGCAATCGAAACGAAACCACAATGACTAGTCTTCAATCACTAACGAAACGAAAAAAGCTCCACCGTGCTTCGGGGTTGGGTATCTTGGGTTGTGACTCGTCACCATTCTCTTGCACCTTAAGAAATATCCCTATGAGACTAAACGCCTCAGAAAGCCTCTGATGAGGAAGTCAAACAGACTGTCTACTAGTGACAGAGGTATTTCACTGTCAAAGTGAGAGGATGAAAAGCCAGCATCCGGGGCTATAACCGGGTCAGTGAACCACTGGCAATTCACCTAGGGAGGGTGGCTCAAACTCCCGATCAAAAACCTTTCTGGATCCGAAAGTGGTCATCGGCTTGATCGGGCATCGAATTGTGCTGGACACCTTCCGAATTTGACTCCGTCCAAAAGGGTCTATGATCAGATGAAATAAAAATCTCCACACTAACCCATATGGATTGCGGTTCTCAAATACCGCTCCGTTGCCTTGTGTATCAGGCTTTGACCGGCCGAACGTCCCAGAGGTGAATCCCCAAGATCATTCACCCGTTTTAGCTTATGAAACCAGGTAGCATTCCGCCCACTAAAAGATTATCGAAATCATTCTCTTTTTATAAAAATTCAATGTACCGTGATTGGTTTGGCACACAGTCTGGAATTAGATGTGTGTGTGTGTGTGAAATATATGCTACACATGATTTTAGCGATCTACATTCCAATCTTCCCGTTGCTCCTTCATCCAAGTAGGCAGGTAAAAGACACCAACCATAACCACCACATGCTACATAAGAGGCGGAAATACCCTCGCGTCTAGATATTCTAGATATTCACCTAACATCTAAGATCAGAGTGCTGCCCAGTCACAATAGCCAACCTTCACGATCAAGCAATCCTACAAGATCGCAAGTCACAGCTAGTTACAATCGAATCGATCAATCGATTTCTCACCGCACAGAACATAGCTGACCGCGGAAATGAACTGAACCCGGCGTTGATTTCTAATCAGTCCCAAACGGACTAGAGTTCTTACGAGAGAGGAATATTTGAAACATTTGCGGGGAAGGCTCCATCCGAACGAGAGAGAGAGAGAGCAGTGAAAATGCAAAGGGGTTAAAAGAAACCAACCGGTCGCTAGACAAGAAGACCCAATCATGATATCTGGCGTGTTCAGTGTGTGCTTGTATGTGACACGCATCTGTTCTTACTTCGTCAAACTAGTTGACCACGGTAAATAGACACTGGGCAAACACTAGTTATCAGCTTGCTCCCAGGGCACGCGCAGAACGTTGGGCACCGACCAGTCGACGGAGATCACCAGTGGCCAAATGCAGATTAAGCCAATTGCATGCACCACACATAAATGGTCATCAACATTCGCAGTTTGCATCCGTCTACCTGTTCAGTCCAGTTCAGTTCCGATTTTCACAAACATTACCAATGCACCTTCGTGCTCCGATTTTGATTGTTGTTTTTGGGTACCCCATTTGAAAAAAAATCGTAAATGAAGAGTGAAATGTTGAACGCAAATTCATAGGGAAGATGGAGAATTCATATGAAACGGTGTTAGAGAAATGATGAGTGGATGCACGAGCGACAATGTTTGCGACACTCAGCCATCCCACCCAGTGTTTCTAACCATCGGGTACGATCATCTCGGGGTCTCCATCCAGGGAGCGTAACGGGACCTATGTGACCCAGTATCCTAGTCAGGGTTTTCATGATCTCATGCCAGGTCTTAGTTTGACTGCCCTTGACTATTTTCCATCCTCCTCGGCAAACATTTTGCGCCGTGGCAACCTGTTTGCTGACATGCGTAACACATGTCCCAACCAACGTAATCTGTGGAGGTCAACCACTTGCTCCAGTGGACGACCGCGAATGCCTAAAACTCTACGCCTAACCTCATCATTGCTCATCCGACTACCCCACTAAACTCGTGCAATGCGACGTAGACAGCGGCGTTCGAATACCGACAGTCTATCTTTGTCCTGTTTTCTTATTAGCCAAGTTTCTGCTCCATATAGAAGGACTGGCCGAACTGCTGCAGCATATACTGGACTCTTCACAGACAACCGGATGTCGCAACGGCGCCACAAATGTCTCAAGTTGGCAAATGCCAACCGAGCCTTTTGTATACGCGCCGACACTTCATCTGTGATGCGTCCACCAGGTGAGATATAGCTGCCCGGATAACAAAATTTGTTTACTTCTTCTACTACTTCCCCAGTCAGGGTGAGACTGGGTGCTGGACCAACCCAGTCTAGTAGTAAAATTTTACACTTTGAAGGTGGAAAACATATGCCAAACATGGCTACACTAGAACCCAAACTATTCAGAAAAGCTTGCAACTTACCTGGATCTTCATTTTGTAGCACAATGTCGTCTGCATACTGTACATCAGATAGCGTGCTACCTGGGAGTAAATCGGTGCCACTATCCTCGCACGAGGATAGGGCTGTTTCAAGAATTAAATCTATCACGAAGTTGAACAGAAATGGAGAGAGAGACAGAGAGGGCAACCCTGTCGGACACCACTTTATGTGGTGAATTCAGGTGAAAAGGTGTCGTACGCTCGGCCTCGGCTATGAGTATAAAGATAAAGATTGCAATATTGAAATAACCTTCTCGGGCACACACTCCGAGCGAGTCAGCGCCAGAGTTTATAGCGGTCGACTGAATCGAAAGCCGCTTTTAGATCGAGGAAGATAGAAATGATGGGTCTACGAAAGGAGTGTCTATGTTTTAGAATTTGAAGAAGTGTGAAGACGTGGTCGATATAACCTGGACTAGGTCTGAAATCTGCCTGGTTCTCACGTGTGCACTCTTCACGAGCGATAGATGGAGTACGTTACCAGCGAGAATTTTAGACGTCTACCTGTTCACAACCCGTATGATCGACCACACATCTACTGAATATGAATAGAAACGACAGGCGTACCACTTGAGTATTGACAGAATGGAGTCAATCAGTAGTGCCACCACCACATCGTATATTGGAGCCCAACTCACCTGAGGTGCGGGGATTGCTGATAGCACGGACTGAATTGCTTCCCTTTCCATTTCGGATTCCCAAACCAAATGTGATCGGTCTCGCATAAGGGCACCACCACCACCACCTCCCGGAGCGGGCGGAAGCGTTTTCGCGTACTCGGTCAGCCCGGTGGTGTTGGATGGCGGGGACTGTGCGTAGGATAGCGTGGTGTTTGAATTCGCGTAGTCCATCGGATTCCCGCATGGGGCGTGAGAGGGTGGAGTGCTTAGCAAATAAGGCTGTTGCGAACGTCCACCACGACCNCCACGAGTGAGCGTGTAACTGGGCGAAGTGTTCGGTTGAGCTGATTTCGACTGTGAGAACACAGTGCCACTGTTGGAATCGGAATAGGTGGTAGTGACCGGTGGAGTAACACCAGTGGTACTCCCGGTGATTGTTGCGGTGGATGTGGCCAATCCTGAGGAAGATGAGATCGCTGAGCGGGACCCGATACTCGCGGGCTTTTTCGCTAGCAGTGGACCGGAAGAACTGTTTGTATTGGTAGGTGATTCTGTGGAAGCGGTTGAGGCATAGGATTTAGCTGCATTGAAACCACTAGGACGGGAGACGGTTGTTCGCATTGCCGGGTTACCTAGGTGAGAAAAGGGGATCAACGAAGTGTACAAGTGTTATATTGAACTGAAGTAGGAATTGTGTATTTGTTCTTATCCCTGGTTTTTTTCAGCTTGATGAACCGGAATTTTCATGATAATCACACACACACACACACACACACGAGATAGGAAGTGAACAGATCACCTACCTCAACTTATAATGATTCCGTGTTGAATCGCCAGCTTCTCAGTTCAAATGCAAGCCAAACAAGGTACTCTTAAATAATAAGATATTGATTTCTGTTTCTCAGTATCACAGACGGGACAAACGGAACTGGACCATCAATGAGCATGAGCGTGTTAGTAGCGTTAAAATGAACTGAACTGATTGAGACAGGCATCTGTGTGGCTGTTGTTCTTACCGGACAGAGTCCCTGATACGAAGATCACACTTTGAATAATTCTGATTTCGTGAAACCTCTGCAGCATTCATTGTATTATAGCATTGAAAAACGATAACGAATGGGCTTAGACTAAGGAGTGCATGAGAAACACACACGAGCACGTACTTTTACCCACACCCGGTCGCCTTCGTCGATGGGACGCGGATTGCGGTGGTCCCCAAGCATGATCGGAGAGACCAAATCCACTGAACTGGTGATTGGATTGGTTGGTCTGGGTCGATTCGATCGTGGTCCCGTTGAATGTCACTTCACTGAGCGGTGTACTCGAGGCTCCGTTTGTGATTGGCTTGGTGGCAGTTTTACCATTGGCTACGTTCATGATAAGAGCGAGATACAGAACGTAAAGATATGAAACCAGAAGTGAGTAATTTGGGTACAAAAGATAGTTGAATGGAAAATCGATGCTGGAACAAGACTAAGGAATCCCTAATCTCAATGGAAGCCAAAGTTATTTAAATGAAATTAACGGATCACAGAATCCGTGCGTATGTGGGGATTCACTCCAGTGACAAGCGACACATCGGGGTATAAGCATTGCATGAAGACTGTGTATTGAAGCCGTGTAATGGTGATAACAATAATAACACCATAGAATAAACTATTTAGAAAACAAGCAGTTTACATCCTGACTAGGCACAGGAGTGAATCGAACAATAATCTGACTTGAGAAACGACGTGAACAAATGTTTTTTACCAAACAATTGACATACGACAAATGGAGCAATCCCAAACAGGAAGGAAGGAAGGAATAGACAATACGAGCATCAAGGCAGTTGGCATTCCAACAATGAAAGACACACACACAGTTCGGCTCAGTTTGTACGACCATTAACCATGCACTTTCGTAACTTTCATAACTTCCTGTTTCGATGAAGGAGTAAAACGGCAGATTGGAATGTTCAAAACAGTGTCAGAGTAAAAATAAAGAAGCTAGCAAAAAAAATTGAGATGCCATCGTTTACAACACTCAGCCATACCGTTCAGTGTCTTTAACCATCGGTTACGATGATTATCATGTCCCTATCCCCAGGGTAAGTCTCCTGGTGAGAATTTTCATATCCTCATGCGAGATGAGTATGACCATTCTTTACTTTTTTCCATCCAACAGCAGTTTCGGCGAAAATCAAGCCAGTGGTAAATATATATATATATATATATATGATAATAATTAGTAGGTGAATGAGTGGACAAAATTTCCCTGGAAGCACACGACCGGTTTCGCGGTTCTTGCCGCTCGTCAGGCATGCGTATCCGGTCATCTTTTGTCAGTTCATTCATATACTTGTATCCAGGAAGTGTATTTTCGTCACAATAACCTTGTTTGCAACACCGGGTAACCATTGGATAGACAGCTCTTTTAGAGCCAGTCCAATGAAGAATCAATGGTACGATTCGATGTCTTGTAAGTGAGTTATATGCTACTAACCGCAACAATATATATATGGAGGCCGACCAGTTGTTCCAGTGGGCGGCCAGGGGATACACAAACACAGACAATGCCAGGGAGTGCAAAGAAAACGCCTTTATGATAAATTACTGGCTAATGATAAGGCTAGAAGAAACCTAAACATGGATACAAAACTCAGTCAATGCAAAAGAATGCCGGTTGTTAAAAAATTTGAAATCCGTGGGATATTGTTCATTTATGCTAATTTTTCACTAGTCGGTCAATAGACACCGCTGTTTAAGACAAACCTGACAGAATAAGCAAGTACCACAAAAGCTTACGCATGTGCTAGTTTCTCGATAAAAAAACGTGTCACAAGAGCCACGACTGCGGTTCTCGATTGCTGTTTGTAGCAGTTCTGTGTGCGGTTCAAAGAATCTCACGTAAAGCAACTGGGAGAGAGATCACTCCCGCCCCTCCAGCCCTTTGACCACGGTCTCCTTGTTCTTCCATCATATCATGAGGACTGAATTACCTCACAAACACAAACACAGGGAAAACAATCTGTAAGCACAAATACAATGACCGTTGATACGTAGTGGAAGTGGAACAGGGAGACTTGAGGACATGATCGGTCCGGTCGAAGTTATTGGTCAGTTCATTTCCTAAATCCAATCATAAAGGTACATATGTTGCACACATACTGCAGCGCGATAGGAAAATGCTTCGCTTCGGAACAGGTATAAAACGTCTCTCGTTTCAACCGAACTATGTGATCGTGGGAACGTCACAAGGAACTGCTCTCTCTCTCTCTCACCCGAGAACGGTTGTCGGATGACCAAGGATAGAAAGCTTTATCTAACTTGTAATTTCTGCGAACTCTCAATAAACCTCTCCGAGTGATAAAAAAAGGGAAGGAAAAATACTTCCACCAGTGCATTTCCGGATCCCCGCGAAGAGCTCACAAGTAACCGGTACTAAAGATGCCCTCACTAGAGGTCATTCCATAAATCAAACGGGCCGACGTGCGGCACGCGATGGCATACAAAATTCGCGGATACGATTCGCCTCGGAGGATCCGCCTCGTACAGCTGTGTGTGTGTGTGTGTTTGTGTTCATCCGAGCATCCAACTAGCAGAACCGAACCGAACTGAAAGGGCGGAACGCTATCAACGCCATCATCATCCTTTGGTCTTCCGACTAGCAGCGTACATATCGTGTGTGTGTGTGTGTGTGTGTGTGTGTGTGTGTGCGAGTTAAAGTGCAACTCCTTTTCGCCATTTTGTTACATCGGAGCTTGGTAGCTGGTAAACAGGAGACAGACTTCAAATCCCACAACCGATCGCTTACGGCGCATTCAATGCGAAAGACAAGTCAAGATACCGGTATCCCCAGCCGATCAAACAGCCACAACTTGCTTCCCTCCACTCTTCATCTCTCCACATATATTTAGTTGGGAGGTAGAAATAATGATTGTCTGCATACCAGGTCAGACTGGAGTGTTTACCTGCCGCGCTTACACACACACACACACACACACACACACACACACACATACATTAGGCAGAGCTACAGTCGGCAAATGAACTTCACCCCGATTTCAGCTCCGACGTGGTCAAACAGGCCGCTGCTCTGAGTGTGTGTGTGTGTGTGTGCTCGGCTGACCGTAGCAGCTGCGCGCAAAAATATAAGTCGAGCAATAATGGAACATCGAAAACAACTAATTATGACGAGACAATAGTTCGAGTTTCGTAATCATTTACGGGAGGAGAAAAAAATTTCGGATGATTTAATTAGGTAAAGATGAAAAGAAAACCTAGAAATTGGACAACAAGTAAAACACAGACATTTGGGATCTGACCAGACTGGATTGCCAACGATTCTCGATCGCTATGAGGGGATCCGGATGAGATAAGATAGGGGAAAAAATTCGCCCGCTGCGCACCGCGCACGAGAGCAAAACTCCGCCCCCCCCCCAAAAAAAAACGAAACACGGCATTTTCAATCTATCACAAAAATACCGAGCCAAGTTGAAGACCTACACAGAAAGTGACCATAAAAGAATGCCATCTGTGTTTCGGGTTTGGATTCGGAGAACACGATTAAAGAGGATGACCGCGAATGGTCTGCAGGGGTCATGCGAAAGACTCAGATTGAGTTGTGCGCTGATGTGTGACAAAGAGAGCTCATGGCCAATTGAGGATACCGTCTGGAGGGCATTATTTTGGAAGGAAAAACAAGCGCCGTCAAAATCCCGTTTACCATATGCGTCACACTGATGGGGCCAAAACAAACGAGGAATGCAAATGCACATACACACACACACACACAGATTTCACATTCGATGATCTCAGTGGACATGTATTCACGTGGAAATAGAAAGGAGGACACGCAGAATACACGGGTTTCTACAGACTGAGCTAGTAGTGTACACTTGACTCAATCCAGAACGTCAATCAAATCGAAACATGAACGTTATTCGAAAAAAAGAACAAAATCAATCAGACTCTATTGGGGATTTCAACTCTACCCGATCAGTCACAAACAGTTGACAAATACATAAAGTTGCGTGATTTGTTTTCTTACGCAATCCACAGTGCGAACATTTTTAGTCACAGCTATCGAAAAAAGAAGTACCAGCCAAATGGAATCTGCTTGTTTCGGAATAGATTTTATTCAAGTGTAGCGACGAATAGCACACAAAGGCGTGGAGGTTGCTATTAGAGACATGTTTTCACGTTATTTGCCTCAGTTGTGATACCATATTATATATTACACAACAAGCTGACAATTAAGAAAAAACACACATTACACTGCTAAAACAGCAAACCATGTCGATCCAGATCCCACAGTCTTTATGCGCATGTGTTTGGCGAAACAAGAAACGCACGTGAATTCAATGTGGTGTGTCTGTGTGTCAGTACACGTTTTTCACCAGAAAAGTAGGGAGGAGCGTCTAGAATTGTGTATAAGAAATCACACACACACACACACACACACACACACACACACACACACACACACACACTAAAAATAGATGTTTTATTTGTTCTCTAAAGCGGATTTCCGAATTCTGAATTCAGCTATGCCTTACCTGTACGCTACTAGCATTTGCACGAAACGTGTTCGTGAGTAGGGTGGGCACACATACCATTTACACAGTGATTCTGTAAGCGAACTCCACATGAGTTTGTTTCTCTACGTTTTTCAACGTCCAAAACCGTTTCGTGTCGATAGACGACTGATCGTCAGAGTGTGAAAGCGCTCTGATCTGGATGAACGGAATCGACCCGTGTAAGAAAGTTGCAACCGAATAAGTGTTTAGTTCTCAGTGGATCCCGAAAAACGCTGCATTCTTACAATCCAGACCTGTTGAATACACGAAGCTAGGGGGCGTGTGAGGAGCAAACACACTGCTCAGTCTAGTAGTAGTGCCTGTCCAGTCCGGAGGACACGGTGAATACATTCAGTCGGGAAACATCTGCCTACATGACACGCACTTCGATCGTTCGCATCCATGATCCATCATTGTAAAAGTAAAATTTATTGAACTGAAATCACGAATGACTATTGCTATTGGCATTGGTGATACCCCAGTCTTCGACTTTTCCTGTATCTCAATCATGTAGAGATGATTCTGAAGACACTGTTCGTGCCGTCATCTGTGTTCATCTTCTTTTGTCAGCTTTGCATGTCCTCAACGAACGGAACAAAAAGTGACGCATTGTTCGTGGCGGGGGGGGGGAGATACTTGCCACGATTACTTACTAACACCGGTATAGTCTGTTCGTCTGTGAGTGCAGTGTGACCAGGTCGAGGTACACTGGTGGGGCACAAACCCGGAATTTGGGGTAACAATAAGTTAGATCAGTGTTTATAATTTTCCCTCAATACCTACAATGGAACTGAAATATTTCAAGTTAAAGTGAAAA